TACACAGGAAAGCAGAATATTCTACTGGGAAATATGGCCTCCTGATCCTGAATTTAAGATAGGTAAGTGCCCAGGGAAAGCCTGTTTTTATGAAGTCACACATTCTGCTCTTCCAGGTTCCTCCAACAATGGACTGAAAATCTCCTACATACCCAGACAAAAAAAGTGTGTCTGTGCTCAACAGGTTTAGCCTCTTTTTCCTTACCACTACGCCCAAAGCCATAGAGTGTAACAACCATTTATATAGCATTGACATTTTTTAGGTTTTACAAGAATCTAAAGAGGATTTAAAGTGTATAGGAAGCAGTGCACGAGTTAAATGGAAATACTTACATGTGGCATTTTATAGAAGGCATTCAAACATCCTAGAATTTTGGGGTCCATGGGGAGTCCTGGAACCAAACCTCCAAGGATACCAAGGAACGATTGTATTCTCAACCCAATTATTACGTAATCCTGCTATTTGGAGAGAGAAGAGAAGCTCCCAGGGAGTTTCCGCCTGTCTATAACCCTTGCTGTAGAAGGACGAGTGGACATTGTTGACAACTCTGACATTTGGGGCTCAATGGGTTGCTGTCAGGGTGGTTTGCTGAGATTTAAAGGTTTCAGCCTCTTCTTTTCTCTTATGACCAGGTGGTAACGTTCCAGAACTCCTGACCACTCAGACAAGGCTACTTTCTCCGCTTCATGACCTCACGGCCTCATCCCGTTTCTTTGTCAAGGATCTTCCCTAAGTATCTCACCAGAGCTTCTTCGATACTGAAACAGGAGGTCACATTCCTGGACACTGTTCTGTTTTTGTGTATGCTGGTGGCAGGTGGGAGTGTAGAGTGGGGATTTGGCTAAGGGGTATTTGCCCAGACAATGATAAAGTAGCCCTTAGCACATAGTTAGGCATGCCTGCCATCAAAACCCTGGCATTTCCATTTGTCCTCTCCCCACTTGGCTTTCAATAACCCTCAGTGACCCTATCCCCCATCCCAGAAAACCCTTAGCATTGTGACCTTCACATTCACTACCTTCAGACCTCATGGCTTTAGTGTGACACTGTTTTAAAATCAACATTACCCAACTGAGATGGTCAATCACTCCATACTAGAAACTAGGTCTTAATTTTTTTTTTTTCTGTAACTCAGCTTCCCAGTCCTTTTTTTTTTTTTCCAAACATGGAAGATATTCAAGAAAGATCTGTTTTGCAATGATAAAGAAAGGATTGCATACTGTGCTGCAGTCGTCATGGGTGGGTATAACACGAACTTCAAAAACTATGAAAAGTTCACCTCTGAAACATAAGATGGGGATGAATCCAGTTGAGAACCAAAACAGAATACAACCAGGGACCGTGTACGCATGTGAAACTCACTCCCACGTGTTCTGAAGAACCTGCCCGCCCTTTGTGCCCAGGGTTCCATTGCTTAGCATGGTATGTTCCAGCCTTTGGGGTTATCTGGAAAATCCCAAGATCCTCCCTTTTATAACTCTCTTGAGAGCCCCTGTTTCTTGACCAAATTCCGGGCTGGAAGAGTTTATCCAGTCTTCCCTAGATGATAAAGCAGCAGCTATAAGAGACTCTTCTCAGGAAGCAGCTGCAAGCCGGTAATCGCTTATGTCATGGGTTTTTTTAGAAACCCAGATCCCTGGGAATGAAGAGTCACCCTAGGTTCCCTAGAGATGTGTTATGTCTAATTGTGTGTCCTCCTCTCCCTGCCCCAAGTGCCAGACTATGGTGAAGATGCTTGTTTGCTTGGGCCTCTTGGGAGGTCCCTCATGCCTCCTTGGTGACCTAATCACTGGTCCCCGACTCCTCATGTATTTAATTTAAGTGAGTCACCATTTGGGCAAGAGAGGAGATTCTCTCCAGAATATGGAAGCAAACCCACTAATAATACAAATTAAACATAGGAAACTTAGTTGCTCGTTAGTGTTCAGTAGAAAACTAAACGTAATCTCGAGAACTGTAGGAGAATAAATTCTCCCCCATATTGAGATTCGTGGAAAATATTTGGGTCAAGACTTTAATGAGTCTACTCCAAATGCAAGAATAAATCTCGCAGAAAAGTTTAGATTACGTATCATCCTGTCCATGTATTCTCCACAATCAGAATTACGTCAGTTTTCCCCAATCCTAAATCTGTCTCTTACTCAAGTTTTCTTTTATGTCTATCAGTAAATTGGTGTATCTCATACCATTTTATTGGGCTTTTTAAAAATCACTCATGTGAATGGAATCTTTTCCTAGTTATGTTTTCAAACTAAGTGCTTTATTATAATGATATTGGGTATTGTCAAATACACACACACACACACACACACACACACACAAATATATTTGATTAAACCCAGGAACACTTTACCACTGAGTGACATCCCAGCCCTTTTTTATTTTGAGACAGGGCCTCACTAATTGCAAAGGCTAGCCTTAAATTTGTGCCCCCCCACCACCACCCCGCTTCAGCCTCTGGATTCCTTGGGCTTTCAGTCATGTGCCTCCATAACTGGTGAGATTTGTATTTTTAAATAATTAGCCCTATTACTATAGATTCTTATCAATTCTAGCATTTTTAAGTGTGTCTCTGACTCTTTATGTAGTCAAGCTTATTTAATATTATTGCCTTAATTTTAATAATTGTTATAGTCAGGTTTTCATTACCAAATGACCTGACAAGGACAACTTAGGGGGGAGAAAGTTTATTTGGGCCTCATGGTTTCAGAGACTCAGTCCATGAATGACCGATTCCATACTCTAGATACCATCTCTGAAAAAATTCCAATTTCAAAGTTCTTAGTCTATGTCGGCTACTATAGAAACATCATAAATTGGGAGGTTTATAAACAACAGAAACTTACTTCTCACAGATCTGGAGTCTGAGAACTCCAAGTTCAAGGTGCACGCTCTGCTCTCTCTTTAACAAGGGCACTAATCCCTTCATGAGGGTTCCACCCTCAGGACTTAATTGCCTCCCAAAGGGCCCTACCTACCTCCTAATGCCATCGTCTTGGGAGGGAGAATTTTTTGTTTTTTAAGAGAGAGAGATTTTTTTTTTTTTTTTTTTAGTTTTCAGTGGACACAACATCTTTATTTTATGTGGTGCTGAGGATCGAACCCAGCACCCTGCGCATGCCAGGCAAGAGCGCTACTGCTTGAGCCACATCCCCAGCCCGGGAGAATTTTAACATAAACATGCAGACCCTACAGAGCACTTGCTATGGGGACCAGTAACAGGGGAAGACCAGCTCATTTTAGGAGGCACCTGAAAGGCTTAGGTAGGAAATAGCCCTTGAGTGGATGTTGAAGAGACACACCTGCCTCTCCATTTGCCAACGCAGGAAGGATTGAGGACTCAAAGTTGTGCAGGTAGGGGAAACAGTCACCAGGTAGAGGGGGCACCTCTCTGAACACCCTGATGCGACAGACAGCAGACAGTCTCCTGAATTTGAGAAGCAGGGTCCAGGGAAGGGAGAAAAGTCAGGGTGGGCACAGAAATGCACTCTCTTTTACCTTCAGCCAGAGGCTCTCCCTGGTTCCTGCCTGACTTTGGCCTCGCTGCTGTTGGGTAGAGGGTCCTTGCCAAATGCAGCGGCCCTTGGATGTCTGGGTGATGATTTATGGATGAAAACTCAGCCCTCCTGAGGTCAGAGTCCTTGTGAATAACAAAACATTTTGTCCCGCTGCGCGCCTTGCGCTTGACATGTTCCGAGGCTGTCAGTGCCTCATCAAAGAGATGAGAGAGAGACAGAGAGAGAGAGGGAGAGAGAGCAGAGGAGGAGAAACAGCTGGGTTCAGTTACACTTAAGATACATATAGTTTAGAAATAAATCATCTGTCAAAGCATGTTTTGTTTCTTGCTTATTCCAGCATGTTTGAAAACCTTTGAATTGTTTGCTTGAGGCCCGAATTCTCTGAGGATCAAGAGTTTCATTTTGCTGCGTGTGTCTATTAACACTTGGTGCTTTTCTGCTTGGCTTCCTGTGATCCAAAGCAAAATCGAAAAATGACTAGCTTCCCATGGATCCGATGAAGCCCTAGATCTCCTACATGAATTCTAGCTGAAGTGTTGTGGTGTATCCAACATCAAATTCAGGTGGCTGTATCTTCAGAGAGAGAACAGGATCAGTGACTATAAACTAAGAAAAACAAGAGAGAGAATTATAGAGGATTTAAGTAAAGCAAGTCATAGAGGAGATTTAATAGATAAGCTGTTAAACAAAAATGGTAGGGGCTATGAATTCTGATTATGATACTGTGCTCTCTCTAGAAGATATATTAGCTTCACAAATGGTTTTTTTGTCCAGAAAAGATTGCAAATGATTGCCCTATACAACCCACCCCCTCCTTTCTTATCTCCTCCCTGCTACTAGCTGGATCTAGTCCACCATTAACTCTTCCCTGGATTATTGCAACGGCCCCCAAGCAATCTCTCTACTTTGACCCTCGACCTCTGGAGGCTATGTTC